TCAGTCATAAATGGGATGCGCGTGCACGTTCATTCTCAATTACCATAAATCCCGCCCATTATATCCGACTGACATCTAATAGGCATATAATAACATGAATGCGAATGAAAAAGAAAGATTTCTCGGATGCAGAAATTGAAGTTTTATTATCAGAAGTTCATTCAAAACACCACATTTTATTTTCAAGCGTACATAGTGGTGTTTCAGGTCCTAAAAAAAAGGAAGCTTGGCAGCATATTACATATGCAGTTAATGGAGTTTCATCTGTTAATCGAACAGTCCCAGAAGTGAGAAGAAAATGGTTTGACATTAATCTTGACAGCAAAAAACGAATTTGTTCACTTCTGAAAAATCGTATTCAAACTGGAGAAGAACCTCCATCGATCATCATATCTGCTATTACTGGCTCTTATATTAAAAGTAAAATGAAAACCCTTTGTATTTACTATATAAAATATTTTTTCAAAATGCTGTTTAAATATGTATCCAGAAAAAACGTATTTTTTCAGGTTGCTTTGCAGGAAGGTTTTGGATGCATGTAAAGCTAATACTGGGATAACTTCAAAACAAAACAAGGAACCTTTAAAATATAATAGCACTTTACCATTTCAACATTTTCAAAATTAAGAAAGTATGTAATGAGACTTGGTATTTACACTAACGTTGAAAAGTTTCAGGTCTGTAAGATTTCCACAAAAATATTAGGCATCATTAATATTAATTTCTTATTATATTGATAATAAGAAATGTTTCTTGATCACCAAATCAACATATTAAAATAAAGGATCATGTGGCACTGAAGACTGGAGTAAATCCTTCACAGGAATAAATTACTATTTAGGCTAAAATGTTCAAATATATATATATTTTTAAATTGTAACTATTTTGAATTATATTGAAAAATATTGCTGTTGTTACTGTATTTTGGATCAAATAAATGCAACCTTGTTGAGCATACTGTAAGAGACTTTCAAAAATCTAAAAAGAAAAATCTGAACTTTTGAACAGTTTGTTTTTTATATTTAGTAAAAAAAGAATAGCTTTCATCCGTAATTGCCATTCTTTTGCGATAACACTTTTTTCCATTCCGAGGAGGTCACTAAAACAGCTGAATGGTATTTTTCATTGACCTCACATTCAATTTAATTTTATTGTGGCTCTTTTCTCATAAATCTACAACATTAGTCACCTTTAGGATACGATGGCTCAGTAGCATCTGACACGCACACCGGGCTTAGCTTTTCTCCCTCTTCTAATTGGCCTACAGTAAATGGTTCATACAGTGATGTATAGATCTTACAGTGGATACTCTGAATACATTTTCTCAATTTCATTTTTCTATGGACCACCAGGGCTTTGGTCAATATCAATTGCAATGCCTGGCTCCGGGCAGACAAATTCATTTCAATTACAATTACCATCGTCGCGACGTTGATTTATAGCGTTGTTTTCTTTCCAGCGCCTTCCCGCTCCCATTAATCACCACTTGCCTGCCCGTATGATCTGCAGTTCATCTACCTGCCAAGCGGGATTGCTCCGCTGAGCATTGCTCCGCATCACCCCCCGTCAGAGACCACAGGGAATATTAGTGTCCTTAATTCACACTCCATCTTTCCACATTTACTCTCAACAATGTTAACTTACAGGAATGCAAACGTGACGTGGTTCTTTGCTTCTCTCGTTACTCACTCAGTAGATCTTGTTAAACTCATTCTTATAAAAGAGGTAATGACATATACAATAATAAAGTAAAGTAATCTTTTTAAAAATCTAGTTTTAAACCTGTGTCAAGTTCTTAGGATGTACTCTTGGTTTTCATTTTGTTTTCATATGGTTTTGAAAAACTTTTATACTATTTACAAAAGTGCAGGCTACATTTAAAACTCCAAAAATTTCGTGGTGCGACCAAAAAAATCCGTGCACCTTGAATACAAGTGCACACATCCTATTTTTTAAGTTTTGAGTTACTATTTTATAAATATTACCACATGACATTTTACAATTGGATCTTATCTTGACATAAATGTCAAATTATCTGATATTTTGAGAGGCTCATTGACCTTGCCACACAGTCATGAGCATCTGCAAGTGTCCATTCTATGATATAATTTTTGGTTTTATGTATGAATTGCATTTTTTAAATATATATATTTAAATATGTTAATAAGCCACTCCAAAACAAATGCATTGTTTATTGACACAAACAAAATATTGTTTGTGTTTGTGTCAGTTTTGCTTCAAATCTTTGGTTGTTACATGTACATTCACTGTTACTATTCATTTACAAATGTTTAATTTTCCCATTTCCTAATTCAACAGGCTTCCAGTAAACAACCTCATTACATATTTATGAGGTTTGGCCATGTCATATCCTCATAAATGCTGTATAGATCATGTTATTTTAGAGACACAAGACTGAAAGTGTTCTGTGACGTGCTACCCTCTCTCAAATCACCATTTGGTTACAATCAGTCTTGTAAAAGCTGTAACTATTTTGGATCGTCTGGAAATGTTAAAGACACTGTCTCTCGTTTTGTCAGTGCTTCCTCCTCTGTATTTCAGGGTGAGTCAGAGGCTCAGACGTCGTCTAAATATGTGAAAGGGTGCCATTCCAGGGCAAGCGTAGCTGCCGCTGACATGACTGTGTTTGCACTGTTCAGATTTGTCCCCTTGGCTTGGCAGCTGCCGCTGGATCCTGCCGTGCTCTCCCGCGGTCATCCTGTCTCAAACGTCACGTGAAGAGTGGAAAATACGTACACATTCGCAGGCACCCCGACAGTTTCCAGAAAAGGCTGTGATTCAGGCCTCCAATCCAATAAAACGAGATGCTGTGGTTCAGCCTGGACAGATTGAAAGTCTGTTTGGACAACATTTTGATTGTCCTGTTTTGGGTGTTGTGGGAAACAGACTGGGTTTCAACCAACATTGGAAACTACGCATTAAAAGTGTAACTGGAGTAATTTGTCACAGGGCAGATTTACTCTGGATAAAGTTATGAGAGTCCTTAAAGGTTAATTCTAGCATGCTAACGTTAGCCTATTCGCAGGCTGGAGAAAGAGAAGCTCATTCAATTTATGGTTACAAAGACTTTGGATCATCTTCCAAAATTAAGTTAAATGGTAAATACTCAAAAGAATGTCTTCCTGGAAGGATCTGTTAACTAACTTGCCAAAATGACACTTCCTTTCCGATATATTACTTCCTTGTCATCTTAAATCAACAAAATAGATTCCAGTGAACTTTTAGTTACGGACACCTGGTTTTTCTTACTTTGGCTAAAGATGATGGAAAATGTACAGTTGGATTTGGTGTCATCTGAGTGAGGGGTATAGAAGTGAATAAGATCTAAATATGAGCTGAACGTCTCAAACAATGATTGTCTTTCTGCAGCCTTAGTTATAAGGTAAGATTATTGTCTAGTATTTTAAGATGGTATGATCATGTCTCTTCATTCTTGATGATTGAAATATCATCTTGATGATGAAATATCAATATTTAACTGTTATCAAATTATTTGTGTTTAAAGATTAACTAAGCATTGAAAAAAAAAGAAAATGCGCATTCACAATTAAATGTTAAATACTGATCAATACCGATAAATAAATAAAAGATCTTTAATATCGGCCGGTAACCAATAGTACACGAGGAATAATTGACAAAGGGCCGTTGAATTATTAGAAAAATAATACGTACCTGAGGGGGTAATTGTTTTTCAATAAGTCAGGGCCTGCTGTCAATTATTCCACTTATTCTACGGTTGTGTTTTTCACAACATTTGTCAGGTTTTTGTCCTTAAAAATCTCTTGTGTATTGGACTTACGCATCTCATCCCATGCCTCTGTTGCTAATTCCAAAAAGACATTTTCATTCATAAGGCAGGACCTTACTTCCAGACCTGGACGAAGGACGGGGCCTACGCCAAAGAACTTTGAGACGGAGCTTGTCGAGGGTTTACTTATTTATTTTGTCTGTAAAATCAGTTTACAAAATAAAATTCATTCGTATGAGAGTCCTCCCGATTCTTGTTGATAGAACTGTAATGGGGTCAAGACCTGCCTTGAACTACTTTAGCCGTGTGTTTCCCAGAAAATAATTGACTGTTCGCAAAAGCCACACCCCCTAGGTATTGTTACTTCGCCCGTCAAACAAATTGTGAAACTGCGCGACAAATTCCCATGAGGTGTCTGTGCGTGTGTCAGTGACCTTTTTTGGAGCAATACCTCTGCAATATCGTCCAGATTGAGGCACAAGGGGTTACAGTATGCAGTGGATTGATCTATTCATATAATAAAAATACGCAATGAAGGAGGCACGACTACTATCGTGGCGAATGCTTATACCTGTCTCAAGTGAAATCTGAGAAACCCCATGACATGTGCCTCAAATGCAACCAAACACAGCCTTGAAGAAGATTTTACAAGCTGGATCAGTGGCTAATTGTTTGGAGTTAGAAATATATAACTCACGCTATTTAAGGTTATTTCTATTCCTTACAATATTGATATATGAACTGATGTTTTAAGTAAGCTTCATGCTTTCCCTGTTGCGAGCGTGCACTCCTCTAAACTGTAGTCTTTGGGTGTTGCACCCCCCCCCCCCCCCCCATATATCATGTTTACAACAATTCTTTACGTAATTCCTTTGTGGATCCTCTAGATCTGCTTTCTCCATGTTTCTTTGACTAATATCAGCGTCTCAGTCTCACGTACGGTGCACACGAGTTAACCATGTTCGACACATTTATCGGATTCAACTGCCCCGTACTATAAAGATATATTGTGATTTGCGCAGATTCTCTAACACATGGATCTGTGCTGATCTGTGCTGGCAACCCAAGTTCAAATCAGTGACATTTCCTCATTTTGTGTCCTTCTCTATCTGCATCTATTAAAGCAGCCAAAAAAAGCAGACTGCCTCTAATGAGTGGAGTCTGGCGGGCCCGGCCTGTCTGTGAGCGATCCGTATGCAGCTCACTCAAGGCTGGATTGGTGTTTTTTCAGGAAGTGCAGCTTCTCCACAATGCTGGTCCGATGAAAGCAGAAGAGCGCTATCGATCGGGTTCTGGGGGAGGATGACCTGCGGTGGAAGTGAGGCTGAGCTGCTGAAGAGTGAAAGGAGAACTGGAAGGGTTCTTAGGACCTCTGAGGGCAGATGAGGAGGTATGTGGGGGGCATCAAACCCCTTCTTCTCTCTCTCTTTCTCTCTCTACCACTCTAGTTTACTTCCACAGGGCTTCAGAGTGTGCAGTGTAGTGTTGCTGATGAGAACTGTTGGAGCGGAGCTTAGCGGCTGAAGGTCAGAGAAACCGCTGACTTTAGGGATGCTGTGCCCACATATTCAAAACACACACTAGCCAGAACCCAAGTTGGGTAAAAGTCTTGAAATATGACTCACTTTATTTCATAAGTTCACTCAATATGGGAGCATTGAGCAAAAGTTAAAGCTATTATCCAAAAGCTATGGGCTAATGTTTGTTTTGATGAATTTCACCTTTTTTCACAGGTCAATGATAATCTAATGACTTAATTCCCCAATCAAAAACATAACATATTTTGACACATTTAAATTTTTTTTTAAGTCTTTAAAGTTAATATAGATGTTAGTTTATGTTTAAGACTATAAAGATTGGGGCTCACAATTATTGACGTTATGTCTTATACAATTGAGATAATCCGTAAAATAATTGTAAAAACATAATGTATGAAAAATCGATATTCATTTTGGGAGCTAAACATTACATTCATGCCAATTTTAATGTAAAAATAAAGGAAATTACCGTATATAATTTAATTCTGGAATTCAATACTAATCAAGACCGATAAAAACTCTCTTATAATAATATTGTCCAATGACCAATATAGTACTGTTATATCGTGCATCCCTTAGTTTACGCAGATGCTCCAACACATCGAGAATTGCATTAATATGATAGATATTCAGTTAAGAAGTCACTATGTGTGATAGACCTTATGTCCAGACGTTACGACTCTGTATTGTGGAGTCTGCTATTCCTCCATTACCCTCTTCAGCAATTTAATTAAAGAGGGAGAAGTGATTGAGTTTACTAGAAACCGAATTACCTCACTGTCATCTGTGTGGCAAGACCAAAACATCTCGTACATATTGTGAGTTAATGCACAGGTTTACCTGCATTGCCCTTACTGATATAATAATTTCCCAATATCACGTAATATGGACCATCTCTCCTGGCGTGACCAGCCTGTGGAGCCGATGTGCCCCGGGGGACAAATCGGCCTGGGCGGCGCGCTAATTGAAACGTGTCGGCGACTCATTGACGTCTAGGCTCTTGTTTCAGGGCTATTTCAAACCACAATGCTGATTGCTGGTTTCAGATCATGGAGGGAAAAATCAATATGGCCTGAGAGATCAGGAACTACTCTTTGCCGGTTTAACTCTTGCTGTATACCGGTAAAAGAATAGTCCTATCTGAACAATGTAGAGACTTTGTAGTTCTTCGTTCAAGAAATATTTCTGTTCTGCAGAATATAAATCTTAAATATCTTTATAAATCATAATAGTATATATTGTACTTTCTTGAATCTTGATTTAAATAATGCAATGCTTTTGTGTGTTATATGAAACCACTTTTGAAACAGCAGATTTATCTTAAGTCTTATTCTACTGGTTATCTCAAAATAATCCTGCACATTTCAGCTGTTGGTGTGGCCTAAACAAATGGCCTATAAATGCAATTTTGTGGAGGGCTAACTGTTAGCTTTCTTTGATGCCCTCCACATATTGTGGGGCCTTTTGTAAAATGGATTGCAGATGAGATAAAGAATAATTTATGTTCCTTTCACAGTTTGGCATAAACAGAATGGCACTGTTGTCAATAACGCAAACTCTTTTTTTTCTTTCTATTTACAGTATGGTTATCATGGCAGGGATGTATTCAAGCTATGCAGGTGAACATTTGGCTATCACTGACCGAATGAAAGTCATGACATTATCTGTGAGTACTTTTAAATAAGTCACAAGTACAGACCATGTTTGCATAATGTGATGTCATGCATATAGTAATGGTAGAATTAGACAATAATAGTCCTAGCATCCTTGAAAACAAAACTGGTGTTTGGTATGCATGTATAATACCGTTCAATAGTCAGTATAAGATATTTATATATCAGCAAGGATGTATTAAATTGATTAAAGGGGCAGTAAAGACAATTATAATGCTATTAAAGATTTCTCTTTAAAATAAAAAAGTTTTTCAGGATTCTTTGATAAATAGAAAGTTGAAAGGATCAGCATTTAATCATGATTTCCACAAAAATAAAATGGTTTTCAACATTGATAATAATAAGAAATGTTTCTTGAGCAGACAAAATGTAATCTTGTGACACTGAAGACTGGAGGAATGGTGCTAAAAAATATCAGCTATTTCATCATAGGAATAAATTACATTTTAAAATTGTAACAAACTTTTTTTTAACAAACTGTAAAATTGTAACAAACTTCTTTACTGTTTTACTGTATTTTTGATCAAGTAAATGCAGCATTGGAGAGCTGAGCACATATTGACCTCTTTTGAACTGTAGTGTATGGATGCATATTTACTTTAGCCATTAGTAATGGTAAAGTGAAGTGTTTAGGGAAGAAAAGGGGATGAAGTTTTGTTGCTTCTGATGGTGTTGACAGCTTTAGACACTGGGCTAAAATCAGTATCCTCCCTGGCCGCCCACCCACTCAGCTAGGAGATAAATCCCATGTGGTAGCTTGGGCTGCCGGTTGGGGTCACAGACTGCCTCCATGGCTAGATCTAGATCCCCAGAGAGCAGCGGAGGGCGCCGACACCACAGCACAAACCTGAGGAGACGCTCAGGGTTTTACATTACACAGCATCACTTTACCGGCGCTGCATGAGCTGGCGACTGTGATTCCGAAAGTCCCTCTGGAGAGTCCATTTAAAATCCAATAGAGGCTTTATGAGAACCTGTAGAAAAAGCAGATGAAGAAAAAACATTAGGTTGTGGTATTTTTTTAATAGTTGACAGAATACTATTTTGACAGATGATATAACTTGGTATAATAATAATCATATTTAAAATGTGTATAACTAATAAAGTGTGTAAAAAACGAATCATTGCAACTCGCATTCTACGTTTAGCTCTTATTTGTCTCAGTGGTAGTTGTTTCAGACTTTATCCTGACACCTGTTGGCCTGGATGCATGAAATGTATTTAGTAACTGCTGCTTCACAATTAAGTTTTCTCATCTCATTCTTGATTGATTGACTGATTGATTTGTAGTTGCTCAGCCAATTGCATGAACCCGCGAGTCATGTGATGCAAACAGTGTGGTGTCCATGAGTGGGAAACACAGAAAAATTCCCCAAAAAAGTATTTAGTCTTCATTTCATGTAAACGCACATCATCTAATGTTATTTCTTAAAAGCACTGTTATTTCTTTATTTTTAAAACAATTTTAATGAGAACTTAGAAGTAGGCTTCATTAAGGACTAAACCTTTAATTAATCTCACAGCATTTTTCATTAATTTAATGGTGATGGGGAAGAGAGACGCTGTTTTCTTCGGATATGGGTAGGCTTATATATTTCACTGCTCATGTCTGAAAGGCTGGCTCCAAGCATTAGGGGTGGGCTCTAGCTCTCTGATGGTTTTCCAGTGAGTATTTGTCAGGTCAGACTGTGCACCGCCCGGCGGTCTCCGCTCCTCTCCCCGGGTTATTTATTACCTCTCTCCCCCGCCGGCAGCGCTGTGGCTCCGGGGCCGCTGCCAACAACGGCGCGAAGGCGGGGACGACTGCAAGGGGGTTCTCTACATCCGAAAGGAAATGGGCATCGACTTACACTGAGAGAATATGGAGAAAATAAAGTTATTGGCATGTATTATTACACAGAGGAATCGGTTTAATAATAGGCAGACCAACAGAAAAATCTGCATTTTACTGGAAGTAAAACAGCTTTTAATTATTTGTAAATTGTAAATATTTTTTTGTATGTTCATATGTTCATGTTTTACTTTGATTTTGTTTATGTAACAAATGTCTACTGCATATAGGCTACTTAAGTTTCAAACAGTGTTAAAGGGATACTCCACTTTTTTTTGGAAATAGGCTAATTTTACAACTACAGCCCCCCCTTTTCCTACTATGGAAGTCAATGAGACCAGAAACTGTCTGGTTACTGGTATTCTTTTAAATATCAGAAAATCGGCTGAAAGGATTCAAAAACGGTAAAACTCAACTGTTTAATTCTGAGGGAGTTGTTAAAGGAGCCTGTTTCCAAAAAACAGTGGAGTATCCCTTTAAGGCCAGATCTGCATTAAAGATGGGCCTACTGTGTTTATGTAGCCTATGTATGGTGTTGTGATTTATAAAATATGAAAGTATTAAAAAATAGTCTTATAGCAATATTAAGGCCTTCTAAATATAAATTGGAGTTTATAGTTTGACAAGCTAAAAAATAGATTAATGGAAAAGTTCTGAATTACTTGTTTACCAATATTTGTAATATCATTTGGATAAACAACACCCTCCTTATTCACAACTATAGCTACTTTTGAGCATTGTTTACATATCACAATGCACAAAGGGCATAAACCTGAACAAAATATTGTCACAAATATTCTTTTTTTTAAATTTTTTATATATAGTAATTTTACACTTTACTTTTTTCAGCTTGTACATTTATCCAGCTCTAATTTGACTATGTAGTTAAAGCATGTGTGAGAGTTTATATAAACTTTATATAATCAAAAACAGAAGTTGCTTGATGCGTGTTGTGAAATGTGAAACCATTTCATGCACTGTGTGAGTGGGTGGCACTTTCATTTTGATGAGCAAGAGGAGGACGCCACAGGACTTGTTCTGCTGAACTGTCGATAATGTGGGGGCTGAAAGTTCAGGGGAAGCCGTCCTGAACCCAAACTGTGGGCAGATTGTCATGTGTAAAATTAGGGGAACCCCTCCTTCATAAATAGTGCACTTTTAGTCCCTCATGAGTCATCCGCGGTTATAATGTAGAAGAGAGTGGGGGTGAGGGGGCAGGGTATCCCCGTGGGGGATCCTCACACTTTGGGTTTCAGGGATCTCCTGAGGTCTCTGAGAACCTTAGACCTTTAGATTATTTCCATTTTCTCGTGATATGTCTTTGTGGGGGCGATTTAGTCTCTAGTCTTAAGTCTCTCTACTGTAGTCAAACAACAGTGTCTTTAAAACATTTTGTGATTAGTATTCAATCTTCTTTTGTTCAAATAAGCTTTGTTTGTCTTCACTAAGACTGGGTAGCTTTATCAACAATAACAATAATGATGATGAAGTTTCTTTTAAAAGTTGTTTCTAACACTGTAACCATGACCTGTTTGTGCACCTCCGGACTGGAGAGTATTAGACAACACCAAGAGAATCATTTTGTTTGAGAAATTAGACTACATGGGTTAAATTTATTTTATTTATTATTTTTAACAGGGTGTTGCTGCTAAAGCATTCAGTGGCAGCTTTCTGACATTATTTATTTTTGTTAAATAACAAAGACTGCTACAGCATTTAACAGTCATCTGGACTGTATTCGACAATAATTCGATACATGTACACACAAATTACTATCTATAACAATTAGGCCTGAATCAAATGAAATTGCAAATAAAATAAAGTGTTGTAAATGTGTAAATAAATAGAATTGTATGTAATAGTCAATTAATGACAATGTTGGATGTTGTAGCATACATACATACATACATACATGTGTGTGTGTGTGTGTGTGTGTGTGTAAATTTAACAAAAATAAAGTGCCACTGAAAGCTGAATCTACTTATCTCTCAAAAAAATAGAAAACTTAAGTTTAAGTGGCAGTTTTTGTTAAATTTACATTAAAATACAAATACACTGACTGTTCCAGCAGTACATTTTACTGCCTGTTACTTTTGTAACTTTGTCAATGTATTTTTTTCTTTTCTGTAGCCTAGAGTCCTGCCTCCATTATTTTGCAACAAGGCCTGATGACATAAAGTTCAAGATTATATCAGATTAAAAACTCAAACTTGGCATGTCCAGCAACTGTCACCAACAAAAACAAAATGTCAACCAGAGAAAAACAAGTTGACACACAAGACTGAAATAATGCTGTAAACAATAAATAACATGCAAAACTACACTCCACTGTATAGGCTAAACTGACAACAAAAATAAACAACATTATAACTGTTTATTTTAAAATATATTGTATTTTTTACCGAATACTACATGTTTGACAACTTACAGTAATCTTTTTTTTTTCTCGGTATGGTATAGGCTATATTATTTATTCAACAAGTCGTCTTTTGGTTAATAAAAAAAAAAATCACCGTAACAGATTAAAGGTAACCACATTACTGTTTGAAAATGGAAAATAAAACCTAAATCGAATGATTTCTGTGAACTTTATGCAGTGACTGGAAACCGTGACGCAACCTCGGCCGTCGCGGACCCCCTTGAGTGCGCTCGCGCTCGCGCTGCCTCCGCTGTTTAAATGGGCCAAGTTTGAGAAGCGGCGGAGAGTGCAAATCTTGTTTGGTCTGGGTCTATGAACTAAAGCGTGACTTCAGCGACGTATTAGGGGTTAAAAGAAAGAACGAGGGAGAGAGAGAGAGATAGAGAGAGAAAAAAACCCAAATAAAGTCCCATTAGCGCCAGGCATCATTTGCAATCGAAAAGGCGCGCATAGATGGCTTAATTATTTCTATCCTCGTCAGATATGAAAAATGCTCCGAGCCAGTCAGGCTCACTAGGTTACCCACTGTGCATGTACTATTGAACTTTTACGTGATCTGCAGTACATATAACCTTACTACGCATTATAATGCGTTAAAACGTCCTAGTTGTATGGTGTCCTCATTACTTTCTGGACGAAAATAAACTAAGCACTGGAGTTGATGCAGAAAATAAACATAGCGAAGTTGCCATAGTGATTATTTTAAAGGAAACGCGGGATAAACAATCATTAGGCATTGAGCACGCTCAGCGTTAATATCTGGCGGAGATGTCAGGCATTAGTCCGATTAGATGTGGTGGGCAGGAGCGCGGGGAGACCCGTCATGCGAGCAGTGCACTGAGGAGAAGAGTGAAGTGGTGAATGGCTGAACTTAAGCGCTCTGCTGTCAGCCAGCGACGCGGGAGTCGTGCGTAAACACACCGGTGCGCCTGGAACTCCACGAAGAGGGACACAAGTTGGGACGCATGAACTGCTAATCACACGTTACCGGCGCTCCGCTTCGGGTAACATGCCTGCCATCAAAAAGGAGAGACTGGATGGAGAAGACATGGCATTAGCCGCCTTCAACCAACCCGAATACCTGGCCCCTTTAAATGCCACCGCTATCCCCGTGGTGACCCCTCATCCGCCGCCGTACGATCACATTTTCGCCCATCATCAGCGCGCGTACTTGGGCTTTCGCGACACCGCGCTGCATCAGCAGCACCTTCACCACCACCCGGACGACTTCATGCTAGAGAGCTTCTCGTCAATCCCGGACTTTCAGCCGTTTTTCGACAACGGAGAGCCTTGTATCGAAGTGGAATGCGGGGAAAACAAAGCACTACTGTACATTAACAAACTGTGCCAGGGCAGCAAGGGGCCCTCCATCAAATACCGGGCTGAGTGGCTCACCCCAAACGAGTTCCAGTTCGTGAGTGGAAGAGAGACAGCCAAAGACTGGAAACGGAGTATTAGGCACAAAGGTAAGTCAATGGCGTGTGCAGACGAGTGGATATTACTTTTGGAATACGGGTTCATTTAGCCTCCATCGTGTTCTTGAATTAACAGAACCGCTTTTGGGGGGATAAAAAAATATGGATTACTTAACAGTAGCCTAACTACTTTATTGCACTGAGAAGAGCTCACTGTACCTTGCGTCGAACTGCTTTGGATTCGCACTTTTGGGAAAAAAGGAGAAAGGTCTTTTTTACGCACATGGATTGAACAGGTATTGAAGAAATAGATTTTTACTTGAATTTTTAAAACTTTTCAAACTGAAGTGCATGTCTACATAAAGTAGAGTAGATCAGGATTATGACACCGTGGCACATTATCAAACAGTTATGGATTAAGCAACTTGTTTACAAAGATTTTAACCATTAGACTTTTCTGAGGTATGGCTATAACACTTCACACTTAAAACTTAAAGATGTTATTTGTGTAGTTACTCTGTACTGATATAACTGCTCATCTAAAGTGTGTGTGTGTGTGTGTGTGTGTGTGTTGTGTGTGTGTGTGTGTGTGTGTGTGTGTGTCGTAATAACATGTTTATTTCCATCCGGTCAGTTTGCTACAAACTATTTAGCCTATATTTCGACTTTTCAGTGTTTCAACACAATTGTTCTTTATCAGTCAGTGGTCGAACAGTGCAATGAACTTAACTCTTTAGATTATCACTGATTTTACTTTACTACGTTTAAGTCTGATATGGAACTTTTCAGTTTGAATGGGTTGCCATATTGTTTTTTTTTTTTAATTAATTACAATCATATATTGTTCAGGTAGTAGGCTTCTAGTGAAGTAAATGTCAGTATTGAGTTGTTTGCTGCACATTATTATATGAACAGCTTGTGTTTACAAAGATTTAAAGTAGGAAAACACCATATTTTGATATTTTACAGTATGCGGAATAACTTTGTGATGATGTACCTGCTCATCTGAAGTAGCCTATATGGTTAATTGAGTTTATTTTCAGAGGTTTCAGGTCTCCTTTCAGACAACAGTTTATTTTGGTTAACAGACTAATTGTGCACTCTTGGTATCACTCTTGGTCACTTACTGTAACACAAATGTCTTGTTAAGACACTTTGGGGCACAGTGAAAGTGAGTCGCAGTGATAGTGAGTTGAAGCTGAATGTCGATTTTAAAAAAAAAAGATTTTGTCGAATGAACAAGTGAGTGAATTGTTTTGTACTCCATATATACATTTGCAGGAATTTAAAAGGTTACTGATTGGGTTTTTTATTTTTTAGGGAAAAGTCTGAAGACACTTATGTCCAAAGGAATCTTACAGGTACATCCTCCAATCTGTGACTGCCCTGGCTGTAGAATTTCATCTCCTGTGGTAAGTTTGCAATTCAATTTGGTCTATTTTGGCTTTAATTTGTCTTTTAAACATGTTGGTATAACTTGTTCATGTATGTGTATATATATATATATATATATATATATATATATATATATATATATATATATATATATATATATATCACTTTAAAGGTGAAGACCAAGTTTGTACATTGAATGCTATTGTATGTTGTGCATGTAACTCATGGAGCAAATGTTATTCAATGAAATGTTAAGCAGTGGATGACGCTGCTGCTGATTAATTACATAGTTTGATGCATTTTTCTCTGAATTGCATTAGAGATGTTAAGGACAGTGACTTGCTGTTAGTGCTGTCACGGTTGTTTCTCAGAAAGTAAATAAAGAGCAAGTACAAGGAAATGTGAAATGGTTGGAATTGATTGTTTTGGTTTGTTGGACTCCGAGCGGCAATGTAAGGTCACAGATTGTCTGTAGCAGATGTTCGAGCAAAACATGCCACACGCTCCTTATTTCCACTTTTCTAGGATGCTTCATCGATCATGTAGACGACAAAACTAGTTCAGTGTCCATGAAGGTCAGAAAGAATTGGGAGTAGTTGAAAGATTCATCACTCTAGAAGGCATTTTTACAGATTTTTTTCTTTTCGGTGACATGGCAATGTCACGGACAGCGATCATATCCTGAAGTTAATCAGTAATATTAATAGCTGATGTATGGACTTTCATATCTCTTTATTCTCACTCTGTGATATCTCCCACCTCTGTTAAAACAAGCAGCTTTGTGCATTGTGTGTGTGAGCGTGTGTGTGCCTGCACCAAGCTGGCTAGTGATTGGCTGCTTGCAGTATTTGTCCACACAGGTGCTGTGTTTTATCTGAACTGAGCGCGTCTGTTGCCGCCTCTAACAGTTAATCTGGAGGGGAAGGGCGTAAGAAGCTTACTGAGCTACTGAACGTAGCTACCGGTGATTACTGAGGCAGCGGCACGCAAAGCGAAGGCGCTTCAGATAAGCTGGAGGTGTTTGAGTGATGCAGGTAAACTACTGAGGAGGGCCAGAGCCAGAGTCAGAGGAGATAAAAACTTAATGGCTTAGTTGTTTGGGGCCCTTATATTACCTCTCACTGAGTGTGTTAGAATCTCATGGAGGCTGATTTTGAAGATGAAGTCGAGTAGGCTTGTGACTGGCAATGTCTGATTGTTGTCTTATCATTCATTCCCCAAGTGAAAGGGTTCTGTGGTGCTGTATCACCTGATAATGTTCAGATGAATCAGACCCTGACTAAAATTGTCTTGCTTTTAATTGGTGTAACCAACTTCCATCTGATTGTTTTGAATCACGCATGAACTTCTTTTGAAGTTTGAACATTTTCATCTGAAGCTTTTTGTATCTTACTACTTATGACTGTTATACTTGATCTTTGGTGTGCACTATTTATTCAACCTTTTTTGATACACATGTATGTGTTGAAGAACTGTCACAGTTATCTTCAAATCTGGTCACCCACTTTTGTATGCTGTTTGAGTAATATCCGGCTATGCAGTTCATTCATTCACTTACCGTTGAAGTTGTTCCATGTCGATTCATTCCTCATTTTGATGCTACTGCTTATTGAAGATGTGGACATTCGGTGTATTTGGCCTCTGTTTTGTTTTTCTAAACCCTAAATCAACTTTTTTTTAGTTAATGAGCTGTAAGAATGGGGCTTTATTAGTGCTGATCATTGATTCGAGTAACTTTTTTGACATTTGGTTATAAAGTATTTTAATTCTACAATATATGGTGTAAAAACATCTGAGTGCTGCCCTCTTCAGTTTGAATGGTGGCTACTGCAGGTGAATTTTCCTATTGGATTTTTGCTCTTCGTGACGTACACGGGGAGAGCTGACGTAAGCAGATTCCAGCTCAACACGCCCTTGGTGCTAGCTACCACGCCCTCGGTAGTTTAAAAAACATCTTGTTTCGTCAAAACCACTGCGAGTCAAAAGTTAGAATTTCGAGTATTGAAAACGATCAGGATGGAGTATTGTAGCATCTATTTAGCATATCATTTATATAGTTATTTAAATTATTTTGTGTAGCCTAGTTAGTTATTAGCATAGTATCCAGTTTGGATAGCTTCAAGTTAGCGCCACAGTGCCAAACATGGCTCCTCCTGCATGGACTCCACCACCGCAGCGGTGTCTTGATGTGAGTGATCATGTTTGTTTTAATCACAATTTATGGTTAGGCTAAAGTTAATCCTCTGGGGTCGACAAAGAAAAGTCCTCGACTTCAAAAGACCGCTCTGTTGCAAATCTACTTGCGTGCCTCCAGTCACTCTCCATTTTAGAGTCTGACAGCAGCTGTCACTGCGGGTCTCAGGTGCACGGCCCACCCTCGGTTTGTCCCTCCATGGGTCCGCCCATTTTTTTAGCATTATTTCAAATATTGCCAGTGGGTGGAGTCAGGCTCTGACCAGGGGTTTACCCGTTAAAGGTGAAATGTGCAAGTGGCACCAAACAGAATTGCAAAATTCTGTTTAGCAGAACCAAATTCGTTTTGCCCCAAACTTGTTGGAGTCAATGCTGCTATTTTGAATCACTCAAATAAACAGAACAACATTAAAAGAACCAGAGTTTACATTTTCCAAGGGAATCAAACTACAGATGACGTAGTAGTTGGGAAATGAGAAAGTAGCCAAGACAACTCCTTCACTCTACAACCAATCAAATAGTGACACAGTAAATACACACTTTATCATAAAACACTCACTTTCACACATGATATAAATCTTCACACATGTTAATGCTTTCATATTAAAGAAATACAAAATGTGGAGAATACAATTAACACCTCCATATTAGTTTTTTTCACTCTCACTTTTGAATGTGCTCACACTTTTTCTCTTTCACTGTACTCAAAGACTGTCAAGAACTCGTCATGCTTTCTAACAGCAGTTGGATTACTTCTAAAGTGCTCTCAAATGGTTGACCTGCTTATTAAATCTTATGTTTCTCATGTTGTTTTTTGATTTCAACAAATAAGTGCAATAGTATATACATTTTTAGTGTCTTTACAAGAGTGTTTGAGATTGTCAACTATATATGCTAACATGATGGCTTTTAGTTGACAGAAAAGAGTAAGTTTTGTGAAGTGCATGCCTCATGCCATACATATATCAATGATTCAGCTGATCTCAATTCAGCTGTAAGTCCTGAAGATGGACAATCACTTTGGTTGTAGAATACAGTCACTTTCATAACTGAACTGCGTATGAACTGTATTTAGCACATAAGTGCTTCTGTTTGAAAGAAGCTTTTGTGAATCGGCATCCCCAGCTCATGCACAATTAAATGTAAAGACAAGAACATGTACAAAACAACAGGTCCTGTCAAGCTTGACGCAAATGAATATGGCAACATGCTCTGCGCTGGTGTTCGTGGTCTCTGAGGGGATGACCGTTTTCTTCATTACATTGTTTTATGACTGATCTTTTGAATCATGGCGGAGTCATTCTAAACAGCTCAGTTCCGTTCATTACTTTAATTACTCGGTAACCACATCTTTAACCGTTCTTCTACCTTCAATGGCCATCTCGGAGGCAAGACCTATACTACGGTGAAAAGTGTTCTCTTTAAGTTCATAAGTTCATCATAACAGTTAGCTTAGGTGAGATATGTAGGTCGTAGACCTTTGAGTTGTTGTGGTTTATTGTCCTCCTCATAATAAATTATATGTAGATTTGTCCTAATGAAGTGTGCTCGCTGACATAGAACCATTGTTTGCATGTTTCTGTGCAGACGGATGAATGGTCATGTGTTGTTGTTGCTTTAAGAGACAGAGTCATTCAGTTGGCCTGGCTGTTGTCTCCCAGGAGAAATGTGCTTCCTTTCCCCTGTTTTGTCAGCGGAACTAGTGGATGCTGGTAGGAAATTACACTCCACTCCGTCTCGTAAATATCTCTTAGAATCTGGGCTTCTCCCGGCTGTGTCCCGGGTCAAGAAAAAGTTGTCACTGGGGGGTTGGGAACAAGGCTGGTTAAAAAAACATAGAGGATGGTGATGTCGCAGTCTAAACATTTCAGTGTTGGTCCTTCAAAGAGAACAATCTTAGCAGTTACTGATGCATTTATCACACTCCTAGTACACAGCCTTCTGAGGCAAGAAGTACTGTAACTGAACATGAAAGGAATAGTCCACCCAAAAACTTTAATTATGTTATTCTGTCATATGTTCACCAAAGCATTTTTAGGCAGCAGAAAACACCTAGCTGTGGGCGCTTGAGAGCATTTTGCAGCACGTTTTTTTTTTTTCAGTTGAGATGCTTTGCTTACTATGTTACAGATATATCCACGGACGGTTTACTAGTATCTAATATCACGATTGTTTATTTCTTTATTGTTTCTATAAAAATGTCGATACAATGTACAGCATTTACTCTGGCTCTTGTTTTAAATTATTTTGTTCGGTTATTATGCTTCTTGTTGTCATCTGTTGACTTTGTACAAGATGTGGCAGTTGGTGGGTGTGGTATTTATCCCTCCCCTCCTCCACTGTGATTGGACGGCTGGGTAAAAAGTGACAGTGATGAGCGATGACCGCTGTGTTTTACCCAAAGTTGAACATTCTTCAACTTTCGGTGAACGGTAAAAACGCAAAATGCGGAAAAATGCGTCGTTCCCATTGAAAAAAATTGGAAAAATACACTAGTCGCTGGAAAAACGCTTTGGTGGCCTTATGCTCCTGATGTTTTTAAAACACACGATGCTCCCATTAAAAACAATTGGAAAAAATACACTTTTTTTAACAGATTTTCGTAAAAGAATAAATGTAGGACTTGGTTCTATGCATCGGTTGTTGATTGGATTGTGAGATGTGGCCTTTGCACCCAAACATGAATGCAAGCTTTTAGGGGATGGGGTTTAAGTGGAATAAATAATGGGAGAAGTTTGGCATACATCTTTAAAGGGATAGTTCACTCAGAAATTACAATTCTGTCATCATTTTCTCAACCTCATGTTGTTGAGGATGACATACA